AGTGAAGAAGGCATTTGTACACTTGCCTTTATTTGTCAGTGCATTGAATATAGGAGTTGGGAGGTCATGTCACAGCTGTACAGGACATTTGGTTAGGCCACTTTTGGAATAAAAACAAGTTGCTGGAAAAGCTCAGCAGGTCTGGCAACATTTGTGAAGAAAAATCAGAGTTAACATTTCAGGTCCAGTGACCCTTTCTCAGAAGGATCCACTTTTGGATTGGGTTCAATTCCTGGTCTCCCTGCTATAGGGAAGATGTTGTGAAACTTGAAAGGGTTCAGAAAAGATTCAAAGGATAATACCAGGGTTTGGAGGGTATGAGCTGTAGGGAGAGGCTGAATAGGCTGGGGCTGTTTTCCCTGGAGTGTTGGAGGCTGAGGGGTGACCTTAGAGGAATTTATAAAATCACAAGGGGCATGGTTAGGGTGAGTAGTGAAGGCCTTTTCCACAGGGTAGGGAGGTCCAAAATTAGAGGCACAGGTTTAGGGTGAGAGAGGAAAGATTTAAAAGGGTTCTAAGGGACAACTTTTTAACACAGAGGGTGGCGCGTGTATGGAATGAGCTGCCAGAGGAAGTGGTGGAGGCTGGTACAATGACAACACTGAAGAGGCATCTGGATGGGTCTATGAATAGGAAGGGTTTAAAGGGGTATGGGCGAAATGCTAGCAAATGGGACTAGATTAATTTAGGATATCTGATCAGCATGGATGAGTTAGATTGAAAGGTCTGTTTCCACGTTGTACACCTGTGACCCTATGACTCTGACTCTGTCTGCACCAGCTTTCAGCCTTTTTACTTCAAGCCAGTCTCCTGCCTTTTTCCCTCCATATCCCTGTACCCCGTTTCTAACCAAATAACCATCCAATGCCCCTTTGTGAATGCCTCAATTGAACCTGCCTCCCCCACATTTCCAGGCAGTCCATTCCACAGCCTAACCACTCACTGGGTGAGAAAGATTTTACACTCATCACCCTTGCTTCATTTGCACATCACCTTAAATCTGTGGCCCTCTCATTCTTGTTCCTTTTACGATGGGGAACAGATTCTCCCTTTCGACACTCCAGCCCCTGCTCATGATTTTGAAAACCCACTATTAGATGTCCATCTCAACCACCTCTCTAAGGAGAACGGTCCCCAACTTCTTCAATCTATCCTCATCGCTGAAGTTTCTCAGCCTTGGAACCATTCTTATAAAATGCTCCTGCACTCTCTCCAATATATTCACATCCTTCCTATAAAGTGGGAGCCCACAACTGCACACAACACTCCAGCTGAGATCCAGCAAGTGTCTTTATACGTTCAACATCACTTCCTTGCCCTTGTGCACTATGCCCATGTTAATAAATCCGAGGACACTGCATGCTTCCTGCTCTCTCCACTTGTCCTGCTACCTTCAATGCTCTGTGCATATGTACAGCCAGATCCCTCTGCTCCAGCACCACATTTAGAATTTTACTGCCCTATTTTAGTTTGTCTTTCACTGTTCCTCCAAACAAACAATCACCTGACATCTCTCTGCATTAAGTCTCTTCTGCACCTATGCCCCACTCCACCAATGTCCTTTTGGAGTTGCACACAGGTACAGTTCTTCAAAGTTTAGCATCATCTGCTTAACTTTGAAATTGTCCCCTGTACATCAAGATCCTAGATCATTAATATATATCATTCCATGTTGTCACTGTCCCTTGATTACCTGTAACATCCCTCGCAAGTCTATTTGTGTGTAGTTCTGAATTCAGGATGAAGTTTTTAATACCTGAGGCTGCTGTGCTGGGATATGAACACAGTTCCCCTTGAGCAGTCACCTGTCACATGAGCGGGATTTACAGACTCAGAACAGGGGTTTGTTACACTAAAGCTTTATGAAACAGTGGCTCAGCCTCCACTGGAAGATGGTGACAGTTTCAGGCCCTGCAGTTTAGGAAGGATGTGAGAAGATTCCAGAGGCTGTGGAAAGATTCAGGACAGTGGTTCCAGGGATGAGGAACTTCAGTCTGATGGACAGATCGGAGAAGAGAAGGCAGAGAGGGGACTTACTGAGGTGTTCAAACTCAATAGGGGTCTGGACAGAGTGGAGAGGGAGAAACGGTTCCCATTGAGGAATGGATAGAGATTCTTGATTAGTACAAGAAACAATGGTGACAGGAGAAAAAAAAAGTTCTCTCACAGTGAGGGGTTAGGGTCTGGTCCGTGCTGCCTGAGAGTGTGGGGAGGCAGGGTCAATGAAGGATGACAAAAAGGAGTTGGGTCAAGTCCTGAAGGAGAGATGTTTTCAGATCTGACGGAGTATGTAGGGCGGAGGAGAGTGGGAGCAGCTTAATTGGTTGAGAGACAGGCAGCACTGATAGAACAGCCTGAATGTTCTGTACTGCTATTATCAGTTTACCCAGGACTTGGAAATGTTTGATAGGGGCTGTGTTGCTGGAGTGTTATTCTGTATCTAACACTGTGCTGTGCCTGTCGTAGGAGTGTTTGATGATTCTGTTAATCACTTTGGAAACCACGGATAAATATCACTTCCCCTCCCTAGTCACTAATGACACCAATCCACATAAAACCACAAAGCCAGTGCTGCATTGTATCCAATGATGAACTCATGAGAAAGGTTTCTGTGGGCACGTCACGTGAAGTGTGTAGGTAGCACGGAATCTAAAGAAACAAGAGGCACCTGGTAAATTTACAAAAACTAACAGTGTACGAGATTGCTCGTGCTCTCTCACACACAACGAAATCACGATTAAAGGAGTGATTCTTTACACGTGGGATCACACACACACACACGGAAATCACTATCAAAGGAGTGATCCTTGACACGTGGGCTCCAACACATGCCTTGAAATTGCTATTAATTGGTGCTCCTTTACATGAGGCCTCACTCACACACTGAAATCACTATTAAAAGGGTTTTCCTTGACACTTGGGCCCACAAGACAGTGAAATAACTATTAAAGGAGTGTTCCCTCCTGCCCGGGCTCTCACACAGTGAAATCACTATTAAAGGGGTATTCCTTCATAGCTGGGCTCTCACACACTGAAATCATAATTAACGGGGTGTTCTGTCCCACCCAGGCTCTCTCACAGTGAAATCTCAATTAGAGGGATGTTCCTTAACACGCATGCTCATACACACTAAAATTACTATTAAAGCTATGTTCCTTCACAATCGGGCTCACATACACTGGAATCACTATTAAAGGGTGTTCCTTCACATTCTGGGCCACACACAGTGAAATCATATTAAAGGGGTGTTCTTTCACCATTGGGTGCACACACACTGAAATCACTGTTGAAGGAGTGTTCCTACACATGTCGGTTCACATTTGTTGAAATCACGATTAAAGGGGTGTTCCTTCACGCTCAAGCTCACACACACACTGAAATCAGTATTACAGGGGTGTTCCTTCACACTCAAGCTCACATTCACACTGAAATCACTATTAAAGGGGTATTTCTTAACACCCTGGTGCTCATATGCACTGATATCAGTGTTAAAGGGGTGTTCCTTCACACTCAAGCTCACACACACTGAAATTACTATTAAAGCTATGTTCCTTCACAATCGGGCTCACACACACTGGAATCACTATTAAAGGGGTGTTCCTTCACAATTGGGCTCACATTTGTTGAAATCACGATTAAAGGGGTGTTCCTTCACACACGGGCTCACACACATTGAATTCACTATTAGAGGGGTGTGCAATCACACTGGGGCTCTCCCACACTGAAATCACTATTAAAGGCATAATGTTTCACAATTGGGAGCGCACATACTGAAATCTCTAATGAAGGAGTGTTCCTTCACACTTGGGCTCACACGCACTGAAATCACTCTTAAACGGGTGTTCCTTCACACTTGAGCTCACAAACACACTGAAATCGCTATTAAATTGGTATTTCTCACACTCTCACTGAAAGCACTATTAAAGGGGTGTTCCTTCACACTCAGGCTCAAAGATGCTGAAATCACTGTTAAACTGGTCTTCCTTCACACCCGGGCTTACTCGCACACTGAAATCACTATTAAAGCAGTGTTCCTTCACACGTGAGGTCAAACACACTGAAATCACTATTAAAAGCGTGTTCCTTCACACTCGGGCTCACACACAGTGAAATCACTATTAAAGGGGTGTTCCTTTGCATTCT